ACTAAATGTTCCTCACGTAAGGCTTTGGAAGCGTTTGAAGAATCAGCTGCTTAAACTCTATCACTTAACAACGGTTCAAGGGTTAATGGTTGAAGATTATCCTAAAAGGATTGGATTTTGCGATTGGTTGTTAATGGAAAACACTCGAAATGTTAATTTTATTGGAAATATTTTGTTTATCAACGAGGCTACCTTCAGTAGAAATGGAATAACAAACCAACATAACGAGCATATTTAGGCCGACAAAAATCCTCACGACAAAAAAACCGAATCATCACCAAAGGACTTTCAAAGATACTGATTGGACAGGAATTGTGGATAACAATCTAATAGGCCCGAGTATTTCTTCCCAACAATTTAAATGGTGATAATTCTTTGCAGTTCTTAGCAAACGATTTACAAGAGTATTTGGAAGAAGTGAATATTACAATAAGGCAAAATATGTGGTTTCTACATGATGGGTTCCACCGCATTACAGTAATGACGTCTGGGAATACCTTTGCCGGCAGTATCCTGGTCGGTGGATTGGAAGGGGTCGTGACGCACCTAGCCACCCAGAAGCCCAGGTCTTAACCCCATGGACTTTTACTTTTGGGGATTTATGAAAGAGAAAGTGTATTCTGTAACAATAGAGGACGAACAACAATTGATGATTAGAATAATATAATAATTGAAGCTGCAAATTAATTTCGTCAGAAAAATATGATTTTTCAGTGCATTCGGTTTTCCTTATTAAAACGATACCGAATGTGTATTGAAGAAAATGGGGTCATTTTGAACATTTATTGTAATATCATATTTATAGAGGTTATAGACATGTTTTGTACTTGTTAATTCATTTAAGCCATTTATTTAGTTGCACGTAATTTTTTGAAGGTTAATGAAAAGGGCCGGAACTGAATAAAAACTGTTTTTTGAAAAAAGTAATAGGAGGCAAAACATTTTTACAAATACAGTGGAACCTCGATTATACGTCAGGGCACCGGACCAAGGGTATGCTCCCTTGTATTATATAAGATGCTATTTGTAATAGCATCTTCAACATCGCCACCATCAAACTCGGCTTCTGAATCAGTTTCGTTCGCCTCTGTTCCCGTTTCAATGATTTCATCGTCTGTCAGCAATCGATAGCCGTTTACGTCCTCATCAACGAAAACACAACAGTTGATTTAGCCATGGTTTCATTTAAGGGAAGCATTTTCATCTTAAGTTGATTCAAGCCATAATTTATTCCAGGCTGTTTTCAGCGTTACTTCCGAAACATCAGCCCAAGCATCCACAGCTTTGTCGACTGCTTGTTTTAAATTGTATGCTTTCCAGCATTCTGTCAAAGAATGTTACTCGTCCATAACTAGGTCTTGAATAAATTTTTTCCTATATCTTCTTTTGAATGTGTTAATGACCGAATGATCCATTGGTTGTATCAATGATATATTCGCAGGCAGAAAAGAGTACGTGATATTTTTATCGTCACTCCGCAGCATACCGGCTTTAGGATGGGCAGGTGCATTGTCCAAAATGAGAATCGTCTTTGGCGGAAATTTTTTTGCAAACAAAATGAATTGATGACTAAATTTTTACTTATGTTGTCAATGAAACTTAGGTATGGACCCTGACGGTTAACAAAGGTGACGGTTAATAGAGAGACGAATAATCGAGGTTTCACTGTAATGTGTTAAACTAATGATGCCACAAAATTCATTTGACTTGAACGTACTCAAAAGTTTGGGGGGATTTAGGGCTGAACACTCCCCTTAAAATTTTTCTGTGCGCTTAGATTTTGTTGTTTCTTTTTTATGAAAAATGCTTTCAGAACAAGAAAGTAACGTGTCCATTTTTATTACAAAATGTCAAGTAGTTTAGGAGATAATGCAAAAAAAAAATTATTTTGTAACTTCAAAGGGTTGTAACTTTTTTGTGTACACTTTTGTACTAATTTAAGTTGGATTCAATCAATTTATTTTTGTCCCCGGAATGCGTGATATAATTTATGACATACCTTTTTGAAACACCCTGTATAGTTATATACGGCAGTTATATTCCACATAACTGATCATCTAACTTTTAGCTAACTTGAAGATGCTGTGTTTATTATAGTACATTTGAAAATGTTTGATAGCACAAATTTGCACGGGAGATAAAATCCAATATAACGTCACAAAACAGTGACGGAAAGGTTCTAAAATAAAATATTCAGCATTGTTCTGAAAATTTTTGGGTTTTATCAAAAATTTTTGAACATACCAATTTATTTCCATCCTTGCCTTAAATTTTGGAGTCATTTTAATCAACAAATGATATGAGTACGTAATCGGTACAGATACAAAATATTTACAGTTCCAAAAGCAGTCAACTTATAAGCTCTCAACTTTCTTAAAAGGGATTAAAATTTTAAAGTGGCAGAACGTGTTTTGCAGATTGTGAAATAATTCAGTAAATATTAGCAGGTTGTGTTTATCAACTGTGATTATAACACGCAGAATTGTTAGTTCTATAATAAAAAGCGATATTAATAGGTGAACTCATGGACGTATAAACACAGATGGACTCAGTTATTTACATACAATTGTGAAGTCAAAATTATTTGAATAGGTCACATTCTCAGCACCTTCAACTGTTGTCACGTTTTGTTTTAAAATTTCTTATTTGCGAGTCGCTGAAAATATTACTCCGTATTTTATACTCTACAGGTGCTATCAAACCAAAATAATAATTTATTGGTTAGATTAATATATTTAATTGTAATCAAAATATAAATTATGCACATAGTGTGCATTATCATTTAATAATAGCGTATAATAGATATCAATCAATTATTTTATATGTAGAAGCACTGAAAACTATTTATAAATTGCAACGGTTGTTTACATTTCTCTGTTTTATGGATCTACGTCAAACTTCAAACGCTGTTCAATGTTTGTTTACTTTTTAGTAAAAGTTGTTTTTCGATATTTTGGCTGTATTTTGAGTGATATTTGTGAAAAGTGAAATAAAATAAACGAAATATTTACATCCCGTTCTCTCATTTCATTTGTAAGTACATACAATTTACATTATTTAAGATGAGGAAATGAGGAAGCGTGTTTGTTTACATTTTAATAGGCGTACCATTGGGTTTATTCATGTTCATTAATGTATTAAATAAGATATAAGTTCATGAAATTAGTAGACATTTTTAAATTATTTATAAGTAGACATCATCTGATTAAAAAAGATCTATTTAGTACCTTTTTAATCTAATATTTCTCATGGATGCAAATAAATTAGTGAAATGAATAAAACTCATTTATTTTTCTATGTAGGTTTCCAAATAATATTGACGATCGAACTATTTTGGTAACAAATTTAGGAGAAAACATAAAGATTTTTTATTGTAGCATTATTTTGATACCTATTAAAAATTAACTTGAATTCAACTATATTTTATTGTATTAATTTTAAAGCAAATAAAATTGTATTTTAATTTTTCTATAAAGACGTGATTTGTTAATAGTTAAACTCTCGTTTTTTTAAATTCTTTGAACGTGTTTTTATACAATATTACTACTTCCAATTTTTAAAATCTGAATAATTACCCGCGAGTAAAAATTTAAGCACGCTTATGCTCATTGCGAAAGCATCACATTCTATCGAAGCTTCAAAACATTGTGTGTTAAAGGTATCTTATTGCTGTGTCCATCTATGTTTATACGTCCATGGGTGAACTTGTGTAGTAAAATGTCACAAACGTCTAATTTTACTCCTGTGAAATAAAAGTGTCATTTAACCGTACCAATGAAAACTTTAGTGTTAAATGTACATGATGATGCTCTTGTACATTAAGATATGTACAAGTACTGTTCGGGGTATAGTTTCTACGTATTCAGATATGACCGGAGTTGAGTAAACAACTATTTATAGATTTTTCAAGCAACGAAAAAGTGGAAGTATTACAGAAGCACCTAAAACGTCAACATGGAGAAAATCCATTCATATAGACGATACTGTGAAACAATCGATTCGAAGAAGAGTTCATTAATTTTATTTGCAAAACAAAAGATTCCTACTTTGGATAAACTTTTAGTAGACATTAATGCAGATGAATCTTTGCCAAACATTAAAAGAAATAAATTGTGGAAAACTTTATGTGAATTAGGATTCGTTTATGAGAATAACAATAGAAAATCTGCGCTCATAGATCTGCAACAATAGAAGAAATTATTTGTTGAAGGGGGCAATATTTAAGGGAAATTTGAAAATGAGAAGATAAAGCAAAAATATTTTTTTTCTAGATTCCTTTCTCCTCAGTCCTAATCCCTTTTGAGATGTGGTGACACCATCAGGCATTTACAGTTTTTTCACGATTTCTCTCCATCCTTCCCTGTCCTGGACTAGTTGTTCGGCTTCATGTATTAATAATCAATATTCTTGTTAGATCTACCCAACGGCTTGGAGGTCTTCCCCTCAGTCTTCTTTTTCCTCCAACTCTACCCTCAAGTATCAGTTTTTCCATCGTACCTGTTCTTGTAGCAATGTGTCCAGAATACTGCAAATATCTGTGTTGTAATTGTTTATATTTGTGTATTATCTAGTATTAATCTTTGTGTATCTCTGTTGTATTTGTCTGTAGATTCAACATGGCTAAATAAAGGGCATTTTGTAAAAAAGTTTAACAAGATAAACTGGTTACAAATGCTCGCCAGGCATTTATAGATGGTTTATCTACGGGCTTAAAATTTCTAAATGGTAAAGGTCGCCGTTTAATCATCACTAATATTAAAGGAGATAAAGGATGTGTTGATGGAGGCTTGCTAGATTTTATTTCAAATTCTATGAACGAATGCCATGAAGAAATGATTTCTGATGTTTTTGCGGAATGTTTCAGTCGCATGATAGATTTATTACCGACCAAGAATATAATAGGTTATGTTTCATTCATTATGTCCTTCGTACCATTTTAGGAACAAAAAAATTAAACAAAAGTAAAATATTTTTAACGTTAGTTGCTTATATTTTCCTACCTGTACAAGAAGTGGATAGTTGGCCTTATCCCTAGGTTTTCCACCATCTCTGAAAGACGGATATTCCCAATCTAGATCCAGTCCATCGAAATGGTTCAGTCTTAAAAACTTAATGGCATTTCTAGCGAATTCTTTCCGTCTTGTGGCATTTGCAACCATTGGAGAAAATCTAGTGGATCCCTCGTTCCAACCTCCAATTGCTAGCATAGTTTTAAGATTTTTGTTGTAAGTTTTTAATCCAGTGAATTTTGCATAACCACCTAAAATTGTAAGTTTTTAATTAATTTTTTTTTATTAGATTTTAACAGGTGTAGGAATTAAATCAAAAGATCAAATACCATCAAGGAAATTCGCTGGAATGAAATCAATCATTTTGTGTATGTATTATATTTTAGGACACTAAGTTCATAGTGCTAATAATGAATATGTTACATTCATACCAAGAATAATTTAATAAGAGTGACAAAATAAACTAAATAGCGAATATCACTGTCTTAAGTACATTGCAGGAAACAGCTTAATAATGTAACAGCATTGTTTAAAAAAGAGTAAAAGTTAAATTCGAGTAGTGTGACATGTGGCGGATAACTTGACAGTGCACTGGTAAGAGCGTGAACTTACTGGACGTAAAAACTCAGGGGTCACAGTATATTGCTAATAAAGAATATACTGTGCAGATATCGTGAGTTCGAATCCGGCCAGGAGGAGTTTTAAAAATATATCTTCCTTCTCGGATCTGAACTTATCCAAGGTACCGCAGTCGTTTGGATATAATAATCGATTCTGATCAGAAGTCTAATTTATATTAGAATCAAACTGCCAAGGTAAGAGTTGACAGCCAGTACAACCGAAAATATCAAAATACAGAGAGGAGTCCGCCAGGGTTGCGTGCTGTCCCCACTACTTTTCAGTGTCTATAGTGAAGTGGTATTTCAAGAAGCGCTCTCAGACTCAATAGAAGGTATATCTATCAATGGAGAAGTTTTAAATAACTTACGTTTTGCAGACGATACAGTAATAATAACGGATAATAACAATGATTTACAGAACGTAATGCAACGCCTTAATGAACGCGTTCATGAGTACGGACTGAAGATAAATTTAAAGAAAATTAAATGCATGATCATCACTAAATCTGCACATGCAAATATCCAATTGACTATTGAAGATACTGCAATTGAGAGTGTTAGTAACTATAAATACTTAGGAACATGGATAACATCAGATGTAGACCAAACCAAAGAAATTAAGACACGTATTGAAATAGCACGTACATCATTTATTAAACTTAAAAAGTTTCTTTGTTGTCGGGATATAAGGTTAGAACTACGCCTGAGAATGCTTCGATGTTACGTGTTCTCTACTCTTCTTTATGGTTTGGAAGCTTGGACACTAAAACAAGTTTATCTGAATAAGTTGGCCGCCTTTGAATTTTGGTGTTACAGAAGAATCCTACGAATATTATGGATTCAAAGAATGTCAAACATGGAAGTAACTAGAAGGATAGGAAATGAGGCGGAAATAATATTAACTATTAAAAGACGAAAACTTGAGTACTTGGGACATGTGATGAGAGGGCAAAAATACGCATTATTACAACTTATTATGCAGGGCAAAATCTGAGGAAAGCGAAATGTGGGAAGACGAAGAATATCCTGGCTTAAGAACTTAAAGAAGAAGAATCAGAAGTCTCCTGTTAGTGATAGGATAATTGTTTTTTTTAATAAAACTTTTATGTTATCTGTTTGGGTTATGTTCAATCACAAATTAAACCCTTAATTTGTAATCTCACAATAATCTTAACTTTCCAATTTCACTGTATATGATTGTAATAGAATCTATAACATATTTTAACTACAAGGATATTCACCTTCCGGTAGAATTTGATAAATTGCTAAATTTTATAGCAATATCTTCCTAGTTCAGAAAATACCTGTGTAAGCGTCTATGAACAAAGGTGCAAATTACTAGGTACAAGGCAATGGACTTTTTGATGAAAAATGTTGCTTTATTTGTTAACTTATAAATTGGGGTTGAACGCTTTTAAGCACTTAGTCTAATTAGAATATTCACATCATAAAGAAGTCATTTTTTGAAGTTTCGTCGACTGTACCGGGTGGTCCAATAAGGGACCACCCGGTAGGAGTAAGGTAGAGGGTACTTTCAAATAGAAAAAATTAAAATTTGTTTTTCTTCAAATTGTTTATTAAAAACACCTATTTATTGTAAATTATAATATAATTGGATTAAATTCGTAACAAAATGGCGCAAACCGCATGTTAATAGCTTTTGTCAAACTCGAGATATGAATAAAAATGCATAAACAAAAGTAAGTATAGTATTGACACACCCTGTATTATAAATTAAATTAAAAAATAAGTCAGTAGGTACTTTCAAATTTTTTTTAGCACAAGAATCTTAATGTTGATACCTATTTTGACCATTGTTTATTCATATGATTAAAATAGTTTTTTCGAAACAAATTTTAATTTTTCTACCTACGACAATTAAAACTAAATGCAATTATTTTATAGTAGATGTGAATTAATTCATCCACACCCTTTCTAATGACACTAATTTCGTTACAATCGTTTGATCCAAACCAAAGTTATACGTATTTATTCACAAATACTTTCCTACTCTCCCCCACCCTTTATTTGAAAAAATAAAAAAAGTACTTGAACAACTTGTGTGCAGAATTTAGGCCTTTTTCTAGTTTACTTATTTAACGCTTGGCATATTTCCCAAAAAACTGGGATACAAAGTTTTCTTCACAGGTTACGCCCTCTAGCGGTTAACCCAGAAACTTGAAAGTTATTTCCAGCGATTTCTCTTGGCCACTTTTACTAAGGAATTTTTTCTCTTAAAGTTATAACATGAATAGTTTCTGATATATAGCCGAGAGATCGGCTTATTGGACCACGGCATTGGTACTTATTAGCTACCAATAAACCATTTACTCCACGACTTCAGAAATTATTTCACACTGTCGATCCAAAAATTGGACATAATGGCAATCGAAGTTATATTCGAATTATGTTTGAATTTATACATCGATATTGTCCGGGCTACCAAGCCATATCATGTTATACTATAAACTTTTTATTTCTCTTTTATCTAGTTTTCAAGGATTCTTATAATCTAAACATAAAAAAATTGTTGTCTTACCTTTTTCTATATCTTGATATTTATCAAAGGGCTTGAGCGTATTTTCTTTGGTAAATCCTCCAAATGCGTATATAAGATGTGTGCATAGATAGGGGTTTATATTTTGCGGACTAAACTTAGCGTCTCCTGGTCTATATATTGACCAGTTGGTATAATAACAAACAACGCGCATCTCCTGTGAACCTGAAATTAAAATAAGATTATATTTACCACGACGTATACATAGAAAAACTTAAAAAACACTTCCTAGTTTAAACTTTACATATCGGTATACAATGAATGAATTATAAACTCTTTGAAATAATGTGCAAGTACAAAACAAAATATGAATACTCTTGCGCATAAATAAAAATACAATTATATATTTTTTAAAGAATTAAATCTTTCACGATGCCTAAATCCACATAAAGTCAGGATAGCATTTTACAATTTTACTATTCTCAGAACTTGCTGAATCTTCTGAAAAAGAAGAGCAGAATTTAATACAATAAATTGAAAAGATTTTCATTATTATTCACCTAACAGGAAATCCAAACTTTCCTATATAAACACAAAATGGTATTGTACTGAAATCAAACTTAAATCGCTTCTATAGAGACTATCTGTTAATCGATTTTAAAACGGCTTATGACAGTGTCATAAAACCAAGTTTTAAAACGGTATGAATGAGTTAGTAATTCCAAAAATACTCATTTCCATTATGACCGATACAATAGCCAAGATACTATTAGCAGTAAAAATTTAGAACGACTCTTCAAACCCATTTAAAATACAGGGTGTACCCTCTTTAATGACAGAGTAGAGGTTACCCAAGGAACAGCACTAGGATTGGGCTTCAGTCTGGTAAAGGTATCTTGATCAGGGTTCTTAGCAACTCAAATACAAATATTTAGTTAGTGGAGTACTGAAGATAAAGATTCGGCACCACTAGTAAGGGTTTCTATTTAATTAACGAAAGATTATAAGGGCAAGGAACAGATTGTGTGCTATTTCGTTGTTGCGAAAAGGCATGACAAATCGCTCGTTGCTTATGGGTTATTTTTAAGGCTTTTAACAAAGTATATAATATAGGTGGCCTGAAAATAATTTTCTAAGAGGAATAATTAAGGAAATTTTAAACATGCTTCAAGGATTAAGGGAGGAAGATGCGTTAACGTGTCAGCTTTTTAACATAGCCTTAGAAAAACTCGTACGAGACGTTAATTTAGATACCAGGGTAACTATATTTAACAGATCAGTCCAAATTCTAGTATATGCTGACGACCTGCGCATTATAACAAGAACAAGGAAGTGAACCACGGAAATCCTTACCGAGCTAAAAGCAGCAGCAGAACAGATTGGATTTCATATAAATCAAAATAACACCAAATTCATACCGACTAATACAAACACGAGAGCTGGACATGTTAACACAGATCTAGTTATTAATGACTAAAAATTTCGCAGCGGTCAAAGAGGTCATCTATCTAGGGACATCGGTTAACTCCAATAATAACACATCAGGGGAAATAAAAAGGCGGGTCATAACTGTAAATGGGTGTTATCATAGTCTTTATATTTAACTATTTATAACAGCGATCAACTTCTTCTTCTTAAGGTGTCTTCTCCATTACTGAAGGTTGGTTATAACTACAGCAAATTGCTCTCTATCTTGAGCTGTTCTTAGTATTGAATGTGTGTCCATGCCTGTCCAGTCTCTTACATTCTTCAACCAGAAGCATTTTCTTCTTCCTGGACCTCTCCTTTCTTCCACTTTCCCTTTAATTATAAGTCGTAGGAAGTTGTATTTTTCTCATCTGTAAATATGTCCTAGATAACTCGTTTTTCTGTTTTTTACAATATTTATGAGTTTTCTCTCAGTACCCATTCTTCTTAGCACCTCGTTGATGGTCACGTGCTCTGTCCAAGAGTATTAGTAAGATCTTCAGCATCCTTCGAAAAACCCACATCTCAAAGGCTTCTATCCGCCTCATACTTACATATAAACTACATACATATAAACTCAACGATAACGTAGAGTTTATTAAGAATTGTATTTTTTTTTTGCATATATTCTCGATCTGTCTCGCATAAACCTTTTTTCTTATATTCTATTTTATCTATCGATGGGTATACAAAAAAGTGGGCTTAATTTGTATTCTTCTTCTTCAGCCTTAAGTGATCCAACTTTGGACATAGGCGTCCCCCAAATCAATCCAGTGTCTTCTATTTTGCGCCACTTGCTTCTAGTTGTGTCCTTCGATCTTCTTAATATCATCCGCCCCCATCTCATTTGTGGTCTTCCTCTGCTTCTTTTTCCTAACCATGGTCTTCATTGTTTATTTCGTGGTTTCATCTCTTATCCTTCAGTGGGGCATTGTGTCCTGCAAAGCTCCATTTTAATTTGGCAGCATGTTCTCCTGCATCTTTTACTTTCGTTTTGCTTCTAATCCATTTGTTTGTTTTTTTGTCTATAAGTCTCATCCCGAACATTGATATTTCCATCGCTCTTTGTGCTTTTACTATTTTATCCATGTTAGACTTGGTGAGCGTCCACGTCTGTGAGCCATACGTGAGTATAGGGACGATACACTGATCGGAAATTCTGGTTTTCAAGTATTGATCTATTTTAGTGTTTTTCAAGATCCAACTCAGTTTTCCAAATCCTGCGCACGCTAATCTTATTCTCCTGGTAATTTCGGCAGTTTGATTTTCTTTGTTAACTTTTATTATCTGTCCCAGGTAGATGTATTCGCTGTTTCTAAATTTATGTCGTTTAACGTTATTTTTCTAATGTTCGGTGTATTTGTCATTATTTTGGTTTTTTCCAAGTTCATCTTAAGGCCTAATTTTTCCGAAGCTTGAGATAGTTGCGTCATCATGGTCTGTAGTTCTTAGAAACTTGTAGCGAATATTACAATGTCATCAGCGTATCTTAAATGGCTTAGTTTTCTTCCATTTACATTTATTCATTAATCTATTCAGTTAATGTATTTGAACATGTCTTCAAGTCCAAGTGTGAATAGCGTTGGTGAGATAGCATTTCCCTGATAAACTCCTCTGTCGATTGGTACAGCTTTTATTTTCGCATTTATTTGTATTTTCATTGTAGCTTTCTTGTAAATATTTGTATGAGCATTCTGTACCGGAAGTCTATCCTGCAGTTCATAGCTCTCTCTATTTTCAAAGTTCTATGGAGTCGAATGCCTTTTCATAATCAACGAAGCCAATGTGTAAGTTTAAGTGATATTCATTGGCTTTCTCTATTAGCGTCCTGACTGTGAGAAGATGATCTGCTGTACTGCAACCCTTTCGGAATCTTGCCTGCTCTACCGGTTGATAGCTGTTGAGCTTCGACGTTAACTTGTTTTTTATACTTTAGTTGTATACTTATTTTAATCTGGTAAATCCCTTATTAATCCTAAAATTTTCAAAACTTTTGTTCACTTTTCTGTGATTTAACATAATATTATTCCTTTCTTCGAAAGATTTCATCTTTCCGATATAATTTCTTCATTCAAAGTTACAATATCATTATAGTAGTAACTTCGTCTTCAATTCAACGTTTCGGATATTCTACTTCTGTGTGTTTTTTACTATTTTTAAAACCTTAAGTTTCTATGATACTCATTTTAAGTACCTACACAAAAAATGGTTTATTTAAAAATATATAAAACAAATTGAGTTATTTCTGACTATGTTTAAGCGTAGAAATTATGTAAATTAAAACATATAAGATCTCTATTAACATAAAAAAACAATTTATTGTAAAATAATTTAAGTTCACATGTTTTTACATGCAACTAACGAACCTCTAGTGTTATGAAACATAAATGTATACGTTTTCCATGTCCTGGCGTATTTAAAAGGGATTTTAATACAAAATGTTAGTTTTATATAAAAACAAAGAAGTATTTTTGATGTCATCTTAAAATATTAGAAATATCAGTATTCGTATATAGAATAAATTATGCAATATAATGCAGGCCATTCACGTTCCGACTTGTGGTACGACTAGTGGTCCAACTTCTGCAGTTGGATCTGAAATCGGACCGTGAGTGGGCTAGTTGGATTAGTTGGACAACTAGTGGTACGACTAGTGGGACGACTTGAAGATCCGACTTCCGACTGGCGACGAAGTCGGAGCGTGAATGGTGAAGTTGGAAGTCGGATCACAGGTTGGATCGAAAATTTCCTCAGACAGTTGACTTTCGGCACCTGTTACGTATGAGATTTCTATGAAATACTAGTTCGCAAATATTTATTAGAAAATAAACTTTCAATTGCACGAAAATTACCTTTTTGTTAGGGCAAATCATTTTCCTTTCTGTAGATCTATTTCGGACATTCCTATACAGGTAAATTTCCGATACTCCGGATTGGCTACAAAAGAATTATCAACATACATTAAAAATTAAATCATGCTTGTAGCAAAAGATCCCTAGTTCGCAAAAATATAATAGAAAATAACTTTCAATTGCACAAACAATAATTATTCCTATTAAAAATATACGACACACACACAACAAAATAAATCCCAGCTCCAGTTTAAAACAAATAAAATATAGATTTTATACCTATACAAATCTTTAAAAACTATAATTTTTTCCTACATCTTAAAAAGTCATAAAAATCAAGAGTTGAAAAAATTAATTAGTTCAGCCCTAGACAAATACCTAGAGAAACTAAACCTAATTTTTAAATTATCATAACATACAATAAAGATAACAAGCACAGTGCTGTCATTTTTCTCCTCCTAATTATATTTTGCGAGGTGTTTATTCGATACATCCTAGAACTGAAGTTGGACCGCTAGTTGGATAGAAAGTCGGAGCGTGAGTGGAGACGAACATCCAACTAGTGGTCCTACTTAGTGGTACCACAAGTCGGAACGTGAATGGCCTGCATAAGTAATTGAATACGTCGGTGACTTATAATATTAATGAGTAGATAAAAAAAGAAGTAAAAAATGAAAAAGTGTGAAGTCTCAAGTCAGAATACTTCGAGTCAAATATTATGCTCATTATATATTTCTACATAGTGTATTATGAACCAAATTGACTACCGTAAAAAAGGGTTACATTGAACATTTTCTTCATATTTTGTTGAATAAGTTTTCTATCTGTTGCTCAATCAAATAAAAAAAATACCACTTATGGGTCACTATAGAAGCATGACTTTATATACGTTAGATTATCTCTTGGGCGTAGCTATGTAAAAATAGCTATAAAAAGTTGCTGTTTAATTTTACCCCGGGTTCGGGGTAACATTGAACAGTAGTATAAATCGGTGTCTACGAGTCCACAGGTTAGTTATTCGTTCAATTTAACCCCGCCAGTGAAACAAGCGGAAAAAACTAGTGGGGAGAGTTTTGTTTGTTTTTTTTTCTCAATGGATATATTTATTGACAAAATATTTTTTTACATTCTTTTTTATTAAACTTTTAATTCTTTTACACAGTCTTATAAAATCATATTTCAAACTAAAGAAATTGGTAATTTTCAAGTCAAATGACAAAACATAAGGGAAACGTATAAACGACAGTCTTTAGAAGGATTTTAGCCCAGAGAATACCCATCAAATTGGATCGAAAAAACCACTTTTCCGCGGCGGTCTTCAGCTGGATCTGGCAGAAGTCTCTCAAAATCTGAAGAACTTACGACTGAAATGTCGTCTATCTGAAAATAAATCAACAATCGATTTTGGTATAATGCAAAATGCACTGAAAAATTTAACTCTGGCCAATAGAAGGCAGAATTCTTCGCAATTCTCAGGAACTTGACCACATAATCTCCATCAGGCAGTTTTTCTTTTATAAGACCAACGAAAAATTTCAAGATCGTTTTGGTTGCGAATCTCACGAGCACATAATCGTCGACGACTGCAGCCCCTGTTGGCCTTTCGATCTCATCGTTCTTTTCTTGGTGCATTTCATCACAAAATGTCTCGAAATCACAATCAGATTTGTCCTGAAGCTCTAGTTCGTAGTCGGAACTGTCACTATCCAATTCCTTAGCAGACTTTTTCTTATTCATCGTGGGTGGTGCAGAACATCCAGAACTTTCTCCTATTTCAAAATCTTCCAATCCAATGCTTTTACCCGGTGCGATGTTAATTTTCTTTTTTCTTTGAGTTCTAGCTCTCTTTTTGTTCCTAATACCCTGTAGAAATTGTAAAACTGTGTCGTTTAAACTGTTTCCAAAACTTTCATTTGATTCAGTATCATCAGTACCAGGCAATTTCTTTAATATTTGATTTCCTGTCTAAAGGGTATATACCCGTTGCCCGAAAGCCACTTTGAACGTTTTGTTCACCAGTTTCTGCGAATTTTAACATCAGCTTTTTTAAAAGTTTTGGAAACATCTCCTTTGGAAGACCAGTTGATCCCGTTGCTAACTTATAATCGCTGAGTATTGCACGCCATTGTTTCTTCAGTGGTGCGAACACCGCGACATCCACGGGTTGAGCGATATGCGCAGTATTCGGCGGTAAACATATGAACCGAATATTATTTTCAACCGACAGTCTGATAATTTGCTCAGAAAAATGGCTCGCCAAGTTATCCCGATTAATACTTTGACTCCTTCTTCATGTCTCGTGGAATAAAGGAAAACAGAAGTAAACCAATTTAAAAATGTTGCAGGATCGAACCATCCATGAGCTGTTCGGTTGTATCTGGTTTTATCGGGTCCTCCTTCCGTCCAAGTTGTCCAAAGGTTTTCTGCTTTGTAGACTACATACAGCAGCAGAACTCCTGAAGCGCTTCCACAAAACATCAAAGAAATGTTTGATTTTGATTGAGATAATAAACGTTCTGGGTATTTCACCCCTCTTTTAAAAAAGCATCTTGCAGACCCAGGATCATCCGATAAATTTGTCTCATCGAAATTGTATATACAATCGGGGGAAACTCCGTCTAGACATTGCTCAAGGTTATCAAAATAAGCAATGAAAACTTCTCTAGTGGAAGATGCTCTATTTGGGTTTATATTTTGAGATTTTCTTATACTTATTTCTCTGTTCCTTTTCAGAAAACCTTTAATCCAGTCGATACCAGGCAAATTATTTTTAAACTGCTTAACTCTCTTACCCATTGTATCCAAATGGCTTTTCATAACATGTCGTAAATCATCGTGAGTCAAAGGAAAGCCCCATTCAGCGGTTTTCAAAAGCATCTTGACCAGTGCCTTTTCTTCGTCATTGTTTAAAACTGTGGGCCTTCCGACGTCCTTCATTTTTTTGTTGTTCAGTTTGTGACTTAATGTTCCTTTTGGGATTTTGTATTTCTTCGACGCCTTGAAAGTGATAACTGTTTTGTTTTAATTTCGCGGATTGCTTGATCCAAAGTATCAGAGATGTAATTTTTGTATGATCGACTACCCAACTTTCTAACGTAATCACGCATTTTGGACTGACATTATCGCACTACACTACCTATTGCACCACAACTGAATTTCCTAAACACACATTGTTCCTACCGCCAAGCCAACCAATGTTATACTGAGCTCTGAATTGAGTGAATTTCATTCAAATGATTCAAAACGAGGTAGCGTAACGCCAGACAATAATATTTAGATGGAACTCGATTGAGGCCGCCCAAGCACGTTCAATCCTGCCGTTCAATGTTATCCCACGTTCCCAAAATAATTGACATATTTTTTTGTATAAATTATTTAAAAATATTCAAAACCCTAATCATGTACGGTATTATGTAGAATAAGGTTCAAATAGGTACTAGTATCGTGTAAAACTAGTCATGAGAAGATATCTTTTGCATATCGCCGGCTGCAGACCAAAGTTTGAGAGATTTTTTTTACTACCTTTTATTTCAGAAACCATTTTTTATTTCATTTTTTTTAATTTTGAGAACCTGCCAGAAATTTTATCAGGAAGTCCAAGAAAAACATATTTGCAACCCTCAAAAAAATATATCGGCCCAAAAAAAGTTTAGGCCAACTTGTAGAAAAATATAATCTTCATTACAAAACTGTTCAATGTAACCCTCGGGTTCAATGTAACCCCGTTTTACGGTACCTTCTCATCTGCAAACGATACCGGAATTCCATAAAATCAGTAAAATCATACCCCGGAGCTGATGTGAGATCAGATCACAACCCAATTGTAGGAAGGTTTAGAATTAATCTAAAATAGCTTCTGGCTAAAACTAAAGTAGAGAGGATACAAGTATCCCATTTAAAAGATCCATCAACAAAAGAGCAAGTCACACTAAAAATTAAAGAAGGGCTCACCAAAATAGAAATCATTCCTACTGAAGATGCGAACAGGAAATGGCACATATTAAAAGATGCTCTTATACGCACATGTGAGACAACACCTAAGCTGATCAACAACAAAAATGAATGGATGACCGATGAGACTCTAGATCTCATGGAAGCAAGAAGATCCTATAAAATAAAAGACAAAAACATGTATAATATTATACACAAAGAAATAAGGAGAAAGATCAGAGATGCAAAGGAAAGATGGTATAGTGACAGATGCGAAGAGATTGAACAGTTGGTGGAGAAACATGATAACTTAAACCTTCATAAAAAAATTAGGGAAATAACAGGCACTAATATTAAGAAAAAATCAAACATACTGCTGGATAAAAACGGCTAAATAATTATAGACGTCGGTGAAAGGCTTAAAAGATGGCAGGAATATATTCAAGAGCTATTTAAAGACGAACGGACTGAGATGGCCGACAAAGGCCCAGACATAACAGAATATGAGGTATTAGAGGCGATAAAGCGAACAAAGAATACCAAGGCAACAGGTCCTGACGAAATACCTGTAGACATAATACGGTTAATAGAAGAACAGCAAATTGGAAAATTGGTCGACTTATTTAATACAATATACAGTACAGGAATCTTTTCCAGAGATTGGCTGATATCAACATTCATAACACTACCAAAAAAACCAAATGCAAAAGAATGCAAAGACCACCGCACAATAAGTTTAATGAGCCATACGCTCAAAATATTTTTAAAAATTATACACCGGAGAATACACAACAAACTTGAGCAGGACATAAGTGACACACAATTTGGATTTAGAAATGCACTGGGAACGAGGGAAGCCCCGTTCGCTTTGAATGTACTTGTGCAAAGGTGCATGGATGTTAATCAGCCAGTATGTATGTGTTTCTATTTTTAGATATGTATTTCTATTATTAGCGCTATCTATTATAATCAGATCGCTGTGGTTAAAGAGAACAACATCTTTTCAAATGAAATACAGATTGAGAGGGGTGTCAGGCAGGGCTGTGTCCTGTCTACTACTTTATTTAATTTGTATTCAGAGGAAATAATCCAGGAAGCATTAGAAGAACTAACTATGGGAATAAAAGTAAATGACCAACCAATCAATAATATACGATTTGCCGACGACATTATTTTATTAGCGAAATGTCTTGAGGATTTACAATAAATGGTTGACAGAGTGGTAGAAGCCAGTGAAGAAAACGGACTTTCCCTAAACACAAAAAAGACACAATTTATGGTAATTACAAAAGCCCAACAGCACCAAGAATGCATAACAATACATAGAGAACAAATTAAAAAAGTTGAAAAATATAAATATCTAGGTACAATAATTAATGAAAATAATGAGTGCACAGAAGAGATTAAGGCAAGAATAGGACAGGCAAGAAATTCTTTTAACAAACTGAAAAAAGTACTCTGCAGCAGGAATATTTCAATTTCTTTAAAGATAAGACTTCTGAGATGCTACGTGTTCTCCGTATTATTTTATGGGTTGGAGGCTTGGACTTTAAAGAAAGATGTTTCGGACAAATTGGAAGCCTTCGAGTTATGGGCCTACAGAAGGATATTAAGAATAAGTTGGGTAGATAGAGTCACGAATGTCGAGGTGTTGAGAAGAATGGGAAAAGATAAAGAGGTCTTAAATACAGTTAAAGTCAGAAAATTGCGATATCTGGGACATGTTATGAGGGGCGAGCGTTATAACTTGTTGCAATTAATAATGTAAGGAAGAATACAGGGTAGAAGGAGTCGCGGAAGAAGACGCATCTCCTGGTTGAATAATTTGAGAGCTTGGTTTAACTGCACTTCTGCTGATCTCTTTAGAGCAGCGGCGTCAAAGGTGCGAATTGCCATGATGGTTGCCAACCTTCTTAGAGGAGATGGCACGTGAAGAAGAAGAAGAAGCATAGTGTATGTACTCTTTTACTCTGTTTTGAGTATTCTCTTTGAACACAATGTAAACTATTAGATTATACATATAACTGATATAAATGGCATATGATGATAAACTATAAATACCAAACATTCTTTAGAAAACACTTCAAAGTAATATAATACTATAAACTAAAAATATATTAAAATTATATCCAATATAGAAATAAAACTCAACGGAACACATCCATCAAGTTGCAATCATTAAGCTTGCAATATTTGATCCATTCCTTGACCATCCTTTCAAAATAAATTTAAATTATCCCAATTTTACCAAATTTTATATATCAATGCTTCCAAGAGCGAAGGAGTCAGCTGTGCTGGGTCTTCGAGGACAACGACAATTGCTTCTACGCGTCTATCGAGTGCCTGTAGCGTTTCTTCTTCTTTTGGTGTCATATTCATTATTTGCCTGTTTTTTTTCGTATTGCCAGATTGCCGTATTGCCAGATTCCAGTAAGAGCCTAAGAAGGTATCCATTGGATTCTGACAGGCAACGGTGGGGGAAATCTTTTTTGGACCTCTACGTCACGGAACAAGACACCCTGGTATCTTTCGGCCGAGTGGGATACTAAGCCAAAAGACCCCAGGGTAGTGCCGGATTAACCGTGTTTCGGCTAAAACCTTAACCACCGTTCCAGAGAGGTGGTCTTGCCACTCAATAAACAACTAAAATAAAAAACTAAAAATTTATAAATAACCATACCTATTACCGTAAATCAAAAAATGTTTAAACGTTAGCCCATAAACTAATAAACAATATTAACTATAAATTTTTAGATCCCTGGCTTAATTTCCTCCTCTGTCCTCCTGTTCCTTTTTCTTCATCACCCCAGAAATCAGACAGTGTACTTCTCTCCATTCTTTCTCTCCTCTCAACATTATGTTTACAATATTTCTTTCATCCAGCCCGAAACCCATTTGCCTCTCGAAATCTCCCATCTCATTTGCCCATCTCTGGCAGTTAAAAATGTAGGGCGGGAGCATCCGGTACCGCATAAACAGTACAGTCTGCCGAGGCAGATTTGCCTATTCTATTTGTGAAGGTGACAAAACTATCATGTCCGGTCAGAAACTGCGTCAGGAAGTAGTCTAGTTTCCTGAACTTACATTCCCACCACGGTCTCAGATCGGGAACAAGCTCCTTGGTTCACCTTACCTTTCCACTATCATTCGCCCATTCTCTCTGCCAGTTTACTATCGTTCTTTCTCTTGCATTCTCATGTATATTTACTATCCATCCTCCTCGCATACATCCTCGCTCGCTCTTTACACAACAAAACGATCGGTATCACCGCTCCAATGACATATAGAGCCTCATTCGAGACTGTCCTATATGCACTAGACACCCTGAGGAGCATTCGCCTTCGTGAAGTCTCCATCAGCTTAGCGTATTTCGCCGTGTTTAGTACACTACACCACACAGGGGCAGCGTAGGTTACTACCGACTGGAAAACTCCATTTAGCACCTTTCTTTTGGTGCTTCCTGGGCCTCCAATGTTTGGCATCAACCGTATCAACGCTTCCAGATTTCGGTTTGCCTTCTCTACTGTCTTTTGGATGTGTATTCCGAACCTTAGACCTTCCGACAACCAGACTCCCAGATATTTAATTGATTTAACCGGTGCAACCTCCACACCTTCCACTATAAAGCGAAGAGAGGATCTTTCCCGGGTCCCTTTGAGAACTAACACCTCAGTTTTTTTTGCCTGTTTAGCTATGCCATTTTATTCAGATTTCTTGTGTCAGGTTGTCCATTTCTCAGGTCATCCAGCCATCTAGGTCTGGGTCTTCCTTCCTTTCGTCTTCCTGTCGGCTCCAATTGTAATATTTTCTTTGCTGCTTTTATATGTTCTTATCTTTGAATATGTCCTAGCTATGATAGTTAATCCTAGCTAGCCTATGACTTTTTACAAATCATATAACATCGTTCACTTCATTTAATCCTTATTAACCCAGTAGTTTCTTCTGATTCTCCAAGCGCTGTTCTCTTCTTGTATCGTACCATATACTTTCTCAGTATCTTTCTCTCAAATGCCTTATGTTGCTCATCTTTTTTGCCATTATCCAGGTCTCACATTTATAGGTTACGACGGGTCTAATTAATAATTATACTGAATTATAAGAAGTGCGACAGGCATTAATGGAAGCAGTTCTATTGCCATATCCATTAATTTTCTGTTCTCAATTCATTCTATAAGAAACATCCTATTTATGAAATCAAACGGACATCATTGACATCGAAGAAACGTAGAAGAAAAACAAAAACAAGTCATAGATTGTTGCAAATAACTTAGGTTGTTAAGATTATAAAGTTGAAAGTAATTCTAACTGTTTTATATGCAGATTCTAAAACTATTTAATATAAAACAAACCACTTTGAGTTATTCTTTTATAACCAAATCGTTTTGATCGTAATTAAATAAAATAGAATCCTTTTTATTTAAATTACCCAAGTATGAAGCAACGTTTAATAAGTATTGATTCAGTGGTCACGTTTTTGTACATTTCTCTGGTTCTGACGGAAATAAAAGTGAACGACATGGCAATGAAGTCAAACGTGGCTTGTGGTGTACCTACAAAATAATGATGTTGTGCATTGGATACTGTAAAAACTTAATCGTCAAACAAGAACGG